AGCCTAAAATCTAAAAAAGTTTACAGGAATCGACCAATCGAGCGAGCGAGCGAATGCCATTCCCCACATGGTATCTATAACTCGCTCTTGCGCATGCGCGCAATTCACGAGTTAAAAAGGTCGCCTCGAGGGAACTGGACCTCGTTCTCCGCGACCAAGAAGTTAAATCGGTGCGAGATCTGGAGGTTGTCTGTCGCAAAAGACTTCGGCGCTACATCCCGGTCATGAGCAACATGAGGAGAGAGGGGCAGCTGTTGCCAATGAAGTTCGAGGCACGATTCTACGAGTGAAATATCTTGTATATTTCACACACACACCACTTCACCACTCCTTTAGGAGCCACCAAAACTTGAAAGTCAATTGTCAACGTATTACACATGTTGGATGTTGTATCAAGCGAAAACCGAGAGAAAACATTAAGGTTTGTGTTAACGTTTCACAGACAAGCTACCGACATGTTACCGACACATTACCAACAGTCGGCCGACTGTCGGTCCACTGTCGGCCGACAGGTAGCCTATATTTCGGGCAAAACCTGTCGGCCGTTTGTCAGCCGACAGACGACCAACTGTCGGCCGACTGTCGGCCGACAGGTTTTTTGGGGAGCTCTTCTTCACAATTACCAATCTTTTGTCTCCCTGAAGATCTAACAGTGGCTATAGATAAAATTAAAAAATATATATCGTTGATGGTTTTGGTCAAAGTTTTGGTGGATGTTCCCTATTGACATCCACCAAAACTACGTAACACCTGGGCACCTTTTAAGTACGTGAAATATCTGCATAAAATTGCGTAAAATATTTTATAATACTACAATCGAACAATAAATTAATACTTACCATTTCTTGAGTAAAACGTTTTGACGCAATTTCCCAAACAAATAATACACTTAGGTCATTGGGATAAGTCGGCATGTTGTCGTAGCTTCGTAATTTTCTTTGAGTATAACAAGTCATGAGTTGTCCATCATTCCATCTCAGACCCTCTCGACCGAGGTGGTTTTGGTGGATGGAATCTAATGCTGACCGACCAATCTTCGCGAGCTACATAACAGAAGACTAGTGATACAGAAATTGTTAAAATTCGGGAACAGCTCATACCTCCAGATAAGTCTTCCGCTCCCAGAGTTATCTTTTTTGCTGTTTTGAGTTTTCGTACGAGTTGTTAATGTAAGTTATCGTGGCTATGAGATCGTTTTTCTTTTTCCCAAGGAATCATTCGTGTACATACTCCACCGGTGTAATGTGTAGTATGGCATAGGTTAACAGACTACATCAGATATTTAGTTGTATAAATCAAAGTTACTGGGACAAAGTGTTTACTTCATAACATGCTCCTGGGTCCCACTAGTTTCTTACACGAATTATGCGAGATGGAACGCGATGTGAAGTGAATGTAGATATGTACACTGCGAATTCAAAGATGAGCAAAAAGAAACTGAAACGTCTCATTTTACTCCTACAATCTGCACATGTTTCAGTTTTACGTTCTTCAAGGTAAAGCGAGCTGTACATTGCTGCAAGCTCATGTGTTTATAGACATGAAAGTAAGAAAATTTGAAAAAAAAAGAAAACTTTGGGATGGCTTTGTAGAATTTCTTTGAGTGTGACACTGTCTAAATTGTTACACCTCGGTCTGACTCGTTATTCAGGTAAGTTAGGAAAAAGTGATTCTTACTGTATTCTTTTTGAAAAAATAAAGGTTCCAAGTCAATCAAAATCATGAAAGTGTCTTAAATTTAAAAGTCACTCAGAATTTGATCTTTTTTCAGTTATTACCATCATCATCAGTGGTACACGGAATTTGTATGAGTTATAAAGAATGGAATTTCAGGTATTTTCATAGGCAGGATAGTTTCTACACAGTATATCAAAAGAAGACCAACCATATCCTATAACTTTGCTCAAAGAAGTATTCTGTTATCTGGGATGATGAATTAAACCCAGGTCCTGGAGCAGTAATGTGTGGAGGATCTGATAACCTGTTGAACTCTAGACTGCGTAAGGCATGGTTTGAGTCCTCTAGATGTTGGTGGAGGTGGTGATTGTCTCAAGTCTTTATCATATCAGTTATACAGTAATGTGTAGAAGCAAGGGCTGCTGGTGTTCAATGTTTAAGAGAGCATCCAGAGATGTTCATAGAAGGTACTGTGAATAGGTTATGTTGTCAATTCTTCTTCAAAGGCAGACTTATTTTTTTATCACTGATGGTATTCAATAAAATCCAATCCCTTTGCCCCTTTCACATCTACTGCCACAGCTGAAAACTAACCAAAGAACCATTTCTACTTTCCCACTTTTACCTAACTACAAGCACATTTGTAACTATTTGCCTGGGCACCATTATGATGGACAGCAACCATCGTCAAGACAAGACGTGGCTGCAAACCAAGAGTAGGCTGCATGTTGATCTGGAAGACACAGAAGGAAAAACAGCTTATGTAGAGTATGGCATGTTTGCTTAAAAGTACCATCTAAGGATTGGGTCTTATTCAGGTTTGCCTGATAAAGAAATGCTATCATTTGTCAGTCTCTAGATTTATTTCAGCATGGAGCTGAATAATAAATACATTTGGCTGGATCTTACTATGATCTAGTTGAGAACAGACATACAGATGACATGAGCATCAAGAACTTTTCCTTACATTTTACACTTCAAGCAGTTAGTGGGTGTAACAGACCATACAAGGCATCAAAATAGGAACTTGGGACAAAATTGGCTGCACCTTGTGCACCAATTTTTTGTCCTTACTCATTTTTTATGAACATTGTGTCACAATGTTTGTTTCATTGTGTGAAAATATTACAGGATAACAGGATGTGCAAGATTACAAACCTTGTTTTAGGAGAGAAGTTTTTGTGAAACTAATTTGTGAAGAGATGGACTCTGTATGCATGCATATTACCCTCTTACCTTTCAATGAATTGCAACGTATAGAATACCAATGTTTGTTTGTTTGTTTGTTATGTTGTTGTGAAAGTGGTAACTGCATTACCTATTAAGCTTATCTCGTAGATTAACGTATCATCAGTCTTCAAAAGCAATTTTGTATAAGTATTTGAGGGTTCTGAGAAAAGTGACGTTTTAACTGTAATTTGAATTTTTAGATGGTTATTCTAGATTGTAAATGTTCATTAGAAATATAATGGCACCTCTTGAGGCAACTGTACCATTTTAATAGAGCCTAATTGCATTGTGCATATTTACTTCTAGTGCAAATTTCAATTTTTACTTTTACAGCCCTAAAACTTCGATTTCTTACCTGTATAGTGCATAAGCAAGCTGGTAAATATAAAGAATGGTCCTAATGTTGTCTCTCTGTCTCTTGACACCACTTAAGCATCACTAGCGTCAGTGAGGTAAGGGTACCCCCCTCCCCCTCCAACCCCCTGCAGCTTAAGGATGCATTCCTTGAGGACCACTTTAATTAGCACTTGAGAGTGAAATTGAAATATTTGGTTGAATAGGAACATGGGCAGACCTCAACAAATACTCCTTGCGCCTATTTAGTGCACAGTGAACATGTGCTCGTTATTTGTTGATTTACCAACTTCGTGGAAAAAACTATTATTCTTGATATAAAAGTATGGCAATGTACTCTTTCCCAGATACCTTCTGACCTGCTGGCTGAGTCGCCAACACGGTAGAATATTCCTGAGAAGTTCGATTTTAATTTCTCGCTTGTCCATTTGGTCATCATTGGTCATATTGGTCATTTTGCTTGATTTGATTGTCATGGTATGTGTGCAAGCGAACTGAACTTCCACCCTCAAACTTGACAATTTTATTTCACCCTTTGTGATTGTCGGGAAAACGGAGACCCAATTTACTGAGAGCAGATAAATGCTAAATTATGCCGTGGGCTATGAAAAGGGAGAATGACTTTTAATTGTAGCGCTTAGCGTAGGGAAAGAGAATGGAGATTCCATCCAATGAGAGAAACCTGGGAATAAGACATGTAAGTGACGAAAGTATCGACGACTTCCGGCTTTGATGTTTATTCTACAGACAGTTGACGATAGTAAGGGAAAAATTCGGTCCTGTTTAGAATGTTACCAAATCTTAAGAGGAACAAACTTCTTGGGAGCGGGAGTTTTGGAAGCGTTTACATAGCCGAATGGAATGGTGGACCAGTAGCAGTAAAAATCCTTCATGAACGCTACTTCAGAGAACCTCACAACCACGACAAGCAATTCTCTCAGTTTGAAGCAGGATGCAAAATTCTTTTTTTTCATTTCACATACTTCACCACCAATGCTGAAAACTGAACTCTTGGATTGTGACCTGAGGGAAGGTACGTTTTTTGTTGGGGAGGGGGTGATTAGTAAAGTTTTTACAAATTGGGAGGGGTCAAACCTGTTTTATTCGCAACCGGTGGTGGGTCACAATTTTTTTTGGCAAGGAAAAAAATTTCTCCATGTCGCTTAGTTGACTCTTATTTGTTAACAAACACGCGAAGTGTATAGAAACCTAAAACTTGTATATACAAGCAAAGCTACGAGTGAAGATTAATCTAAATTATTCAATACGCCGTCCGTTTGAATTGAACAGCGCATTATCATCTTCGGTCACTTTCGCATTCAGCTCATCGATTTTGATCTTCAGCTTCGAAAGGTCATCAATGTTGTCCTTAATCGTGGTAGCGTCATGGTGTTTTTGCGCTAAAATTTTCCTCCGTGAATCTCACGGCAGCCGCTGGATTATCAGAAGTCACAAAAGCCAACTTGTAATTTATTGCTTTCAAAGCCTCGCGAACTTTCCACTAGCGCTTTCTTTCGGTCACGAAACAGCGGCGAAAGTGTTCCTTGTAGGGCAAGTGGTCCCAAAGGACAGGTAGAATTTTGGCAGAATACTATTTGAGAACTCAGTGTACTCGCCCTTTGGGTTCGGGAACCACCCCAGGTCTTCATCTTTCCACTTCTCTGCACTTGCACTTTCACTTGTTCCCTCACCCGATGTGCCACCAACAGAGTCAGGAGTAGCGGGCATCCTTTTTAGAATGGCGAGTCGGCAAACAGCCACAATAGCCACAAGTTGCTCCATCTGACCTCATGAAATCCTCGCATTCACCACAAGCGCATTTCCCTCTTTCTATTCCTCGTACATCCTTGCCCATTTTCATGTTTTCACCGTACAATCAAACGCCACGCAATTAACTGCTTTGTGGGCAGACGCGGTTATGTGAGTAACACTTCCGGTTATTCTTGTCTTCCATGGAGGAGGAGGGGGGAGGGTCAGATGTTTTTGTGTAGGTGTTTGTGGAGGGTCGTGCTTTAATCCATTCTGGGAAGTGGGAGGGCCCCGACCCACCCCCCCTAGTAAAAAAGGTACCTTCCCTAAGAAAGCAAAATTCGTCGGAAAAATTTGTCTTCTTTTCGTTTTCACGTTTTTTCAAGGGTAGGCGGGTCGTAAGGGGTGGGAGCTCTCGGAGCTTGAGCTTGGTATACGTCTTTAGCCAACCAACGAGTTCTCTGTAGCTCAGTGCTACAGTGTGGTATCTTGAAACCTAACTTAAACCCATGGAACATGCACCCACGCTGGCAAGCTCTAGAATTGCGACTTATCAAGCCTGTGATGCAATAAATTATACTTTTTTTTCTGTGTATTGAGCAGATGGTCGACAAATACCAGAAAGGGAACGTCGTAAGAGTGACATCGAGATGATGGGTGAGCATAAGCTGAAAGATATCGTCTTCTGCTGTATCAAGAATTCCCCTAAGATGAGACCTAGCACAGAGGAGCTCGCTGAGTTGTTTCAATGTGAATCTGAGAAGATAAAACTCTAAAGCTTGAAGTTGCCGTTCTTGGAGAGTTCGGTGTAGGAAAATCATCCCTAATTTAACGATATTCTAACCACATCTTCTTTGAGGATATTGTTCCTGCGGGTGGCTTGAACTTTAAGAATTCTACGATCCCTCTGCTCGACCGAGAGTTTATTTTGAAAATTGTTGATACAGCAGGCCAAGAAAAATGCACATCCATGGTTCCATAGCTCATACGAAACGTTCAAGGCATTGCTATTGTGTACGATGTAACAATTGAGTCTTCTTTCACCAAAGGAGTTCCCAGAATGCATCAGTTCATTAAGAACTGTGCACCAGATAATGCGAGTATAATTTTAGTGAGTAATAAAACAGAGGAGGGCAGGTCAACACTAGAAAGAGGGGGAAAATTGTGCCAAACAGCTCGGCACTAGCCACATCGAGACGATTACAAAAACTGGCCTAAACGTTGAAGACGTTGAATGATTGCAAAAGAGATCTATGGCAACTTAGATTTGTCTGATATGACGCAGAGAAAGAGAGAGTAACCTCGATACTGAATCAAGTTGTAACTGTTAAATTATCACAAAATTGAGGTGACAATGATCTTTCATTAATGAAAAACGGGTATGATCCATCTCATTTTAAGGTACAGGTGCACAAAACCTAAAGAATGAGTATTTCTAAAAAGCTGCGGTGGTGCTGTAGTGACATTGCATGTGAAAAGAACGAAGTATTCCAAAAATTAGGTGTTCTATTTCACTTGCAAGGAGACCAACAAAAACGCAGTGTATTTTCAATCAGCAAGTTTAAGAATAGTTGTTTCAGGTTGACAAAGCCATTTTATCAACTTTAAGTACAGTAACTGTGAACATGATGAAGTAAGATTGTGAGATACGTTTTGACCGTTGGAATAGCTTACAGCACTTAAGGTAAAGATGCTATTTTTACAATGTGGTGAAAATGTAGGTAAATGTAGTTTGGATTAAGCTTGTAGGGGTGACACTTTGGTGAAAGGATTTGCCCCCCAATTTTCCTTTTCCCACAAAAATCAATGTTCCTTACGACCCTTTATTATTATTTATTTGCCTAGCCTTCGAAAAACGTTTTTGAAAAGTTAGAGATTTTCGAAGTTGCAGTAATGTTGTATTGTTATTTTTCAAGTGAGATGTCAATAAAGAAATCTTTGTTTCAGTTAATATTGCAGTTCTTTTGTAAACTCATTTACTTAAGGTTTTATGTAAGGAATTTTTTAATCTTTTTTTTCCATATCAATGTTGTATTTGTAGCATTGGTCCACTAGTAGAATTTAGAATTTAGATCACCGAGCTTGAGTGATGAAGTACCTTCTGTTAGCCTGTACCGAAAACATAAATTAGTTAATCATCACAAATGAATAAAGAGGGTAAGTTTCTAAAGAAACTTGTACTGCGTCGACTCGGTGGGAGAGTATCACAGGGTAACTGAGTTGATAACGTCAATTGGCCACCGTGGATAATTTAAAAGCTAAACTCTTTGCGGTGGCCAATTTACGTTATCAACTCAGTTGATAATACTATAATACTAAATTACCTACTTATTACAGAGGCTTCAGCATTAATTAAAAAACACCTATTCTCGCAATTTTATGCGTTAAACTAGTCATCGCTTTGTGCAATATGTGTGCAAATAGGATATTATAGACCACGCTTTAAAAGAATACTTAGACCTTTGACGCTGAAAACCCTACGTTAGCCCTATTTGACTCTACCAATGGAACAAGCCAGCCTTAGGAGACCAAAGTAAGATCAATGAATACTATTTAATTAAATTAATAGGTCATTTAGCCGCTGTAGATATGATCAATCGTGGTTTAGAATTTACTTCAACGCTTTTAATAGGTGCATGCTCTCAGAAATAGTTTTACGATATTTTATCATCAACTCAAAGCAACAATCTTCAATCAACGATTCACAATCAACGATCCTTTGATGACTTTTTCAATAATCAACTACATAAAGGATAACTACGAAATCCACCAAATCTACGAAATCACACCATCTGAGCTATCCTATCCACGCTTCCTGGAAGAGCCATACAGTCATCGGGTCTCGTCGTTCATGGATCATGCTCAGTTTTAGGTGTCATTTTTTTGCAACTGAGTGTCTACTGAAGTTATATATGAAACAACTAATAGAAGCTTTCCTCGTTATTTTTCGGATTTTGGGGTTATATAATGCTCCCAGGGTCTTGTATTTGGCCATGTTGGCAAATATCATGGTGACTGACTTGTATTGTCAGGCTGTTGCCTGCGCAGATACTCCAGTTTACCTGTCGGAAAAGTAAGAAATGGTCAGTGTGCAGCGTGCAACCATCGAGGTATGGATGCACGTGGGAGGCTGCTAAGCGCGAAAGAAGCGTAAGAGTCGCACGAGGTGATAGGTAAGTGTGACTGTAGCTTCGTGAGTGCTTAGTAAACCTCCTAAGCGCATCCATAACTCAGTGGTTGCACGCTGCAAGCCAACTATTTCTTCTATAACATTAGGAATTTCAAGGACCTTCCGTTTCTTGGCGTAGGGAAAGAGAAGCAGACCTCTAATATAAAGACTTCATTGTATGAGAGGAACCTGGGAACAAGACATTTAAGAAGCGAAAGTTTTGATAACTTTGGGCCTTGATGTTTGTACTAAACACAGGCTGTTAGTGATAGCATAAACAGAGCTCAATCCTGCTGAGAATGTTGCCAAACCTTAAGCACAAGAAACTCATCGGAAGCGGGAGTTTCGGGAACGTTTACAGAGCCAAATTGGATGGCAAACCAGTTGCAGTGAAAATCCTTCATGAACGCTTCTTCAGAGAACCTCACAGCCACAACAAATATTTCTCTCAGTTTGAAGCGGAATGCAAAATTCTTCAAAACCTCCAGCACAAAAACGTGGTTACGTTATTGGAATTTATCATTTCACATACATCACCGCCAATGTTGATAACTGAACTCTTGGATTGTGACTTAAGAGAGCATATTCGTGATTGTCATCCAGGGAGGATTCCATATTCAGAAACTGTCTCGATTATGTTGGACGTGGCGGAAGGTCTCGCGTATCTTCATCGGCAAAATCCACCGATAGTTCACCGAGACTTGGCCAGCAAAAACATACTTCTGACCAAGGAAAAGCAGGCGAAGATTGCCGATGTCGGTCTTGCCAAAGTGCTTCTAAAAGGCGAACAAAATTATTGTTCTCCTGTACCCGGAACGCCAGTTTATGCTGCACCAGAGACGTTTCACCTCGACTATGATCCAAATTTTCCCATTCCAAGGGGCCGGTCGCTTGTCGAATATGACACTAAGATTGACATCTTTTCACTCGGAATCACTTTGATGGAAGTTATAACTGGACGGCTGCCCTCCCCACAACCATGCATACCTTTTACGAGCGGTACGTATCGTACTTTTGTAAACAATGTTATTAACTTAACACAGTTATGGTAATTTTATAAGGTGAGGTAAGACAAAGAAAATACAGGTCCGCAATACGTGTTTGGCCCACAAATTCCTCACGCTACTGACACTGAAGTTTCTTAGAGAATGTAAAACCTTAAAATAAGAGATGGTCATAAACCTTGTGTAAACTTTATCGTAGTATAATGTTGAAAAAAACAAACAGACCAAAAAAATCAGAACGTCTTTGGGGCAGTAAATGGAAGAAAAGAGGGTATTAATTGAAGTTATGTAGACCCCGACCGTGAAAAGTCATAATTTTTGAAAAATCCATCAGTCAAATTTGTTTGTTTTTCGCTTTACGTTTTGACTTACGGCAAGCGGGTGGTAGGGGCTGGGGGTGAGGGGTGATATCTGGGAGCTTGAGCCCACCAACGAAGTCTTTGTAGCTCTGTGGTAGAGTATATAATTAGTATCTTGAAATCTTACTGAACCCTGTAAAATACTCTGGAAGTTGGCTGTCAGATGCTACTCTGTTTTTGTAGCCACGCTGGCAAGCATTATAATTGCGACTTATTAAGGTTGTGGTGCAGCAAGCTATACTTTTTTCTCTCTTTATTGCGCAGATGGTCAACAAATACCAGAAAGGGAACGTCGCAAACATGACATCGAGATGATGGGTGAGCATAAACTGAAAGATATCGTCTTTTACTGTATTAAGGACTCCCATAAGATGAGGCCTTGCGCCGAGAGGCTCACCAAGTTGTTTCGATGCGAATCTGAAAAGATACAACAGAAAGAACGCATTGTTGAGGGGGGTGAAACTGCAAATATTGAAGTTGCTGTTCTTGGAGAGTCTGGTGTAGGAAAGTCGTCTCTACTTTTACGGTATTCTGACCAAATCTTCATGGAGAAAGTCCCTTCTACGTGTGGCTTGGACTTTAAGAATTCTAAAATCCGTCTGCACGACCGAGAGTTTACTTTGAAAATTGTTGATACGGCAGGACAAGAAGTATTTCAAGCGATGACACCACAATTCATACGAAAAGTTCAAGGCATTGCTATTGTGTATGACGTAACTGAGGAGTCCTCCCTTACTGAAGGCGTTCCCAGAATGTACCAGTTGATTAAGGATTATGCACCAGACAATGTGAGTTTAATTTTAGTGGGTAATAAAGCAGGGGAGGGAGAACGCGTCATCACCAGAGAGGAAGGGGAAAACTTTGCCAAAAAGCTTGGCATTAGCCACATCGAGACAAGTGCAAAAACTGGCCTAAATGTTGAAGAAATGTTCTCAATAATTGCAAGCGAGATCTATGACAATTTAGATTTGTCTGATATTGATATGTACTTCTCAGATGGAAGAGATGTAATCAAGGTCAGAAACGATGATCCTCCTCGTGAGAGAGGTTTCCTCGAAAAGATTAGTGACTGCTTTAAGCCAGGGTGGAACTGGCTTAGAGGCAGAAACGATTCACAAAGAGACCAAGCACGTACTCAGTGGTACTGCTAAGAAACTCTATCACAGTGAAATAACTGCATTAGAGCTTTCCATTGACAACACAAGACTTGAGGAAAAACTTCTTGGTGTCATAATTGATCTTCATCTTTCTTGTAACTTACATATCGACTATCTAATAAAAAGGCTGAACTCTAGAATATGTCTTCTTAAGAGAGCTAAAGTCCATTTAACCATTCAATGCAGAAAAATGTTATTTAATGCTCTCATTAAGCCTATTCTTAATTATTGTTGTACTTTTTGGGGTAAATGTTCTGTTGAAAACCTTCAAAGGCTGCTAAAAGTACAAAAACGATGTGCGAGATCAATATTGGATGCCACCATTTATGACAGCTACGTAGAACTTTTTGATAAATTAGGCTGGCTACCTATAGATGACATCGTGCACATTAGAAAACTCAAAGTTAGCCAGGGTCATTGTCCTGAATATTTCACCTCATATTTTAAACATGCTAGGTCTACACATGGTTATCGAACTAGATCTCCCATCTGTAAAGACGTTTTGACATCATCATGTCAAAGAAACTTAGGGCTCAGGACTTTCCACTCAAGTGCATATCATCTATGAAATGATCTAGGTAACACATACAGAAACATAATTTCTCTCTCAAATTGCAGAAAAATGCTACAGAATAATTTTATCAAAGAAAACTCTTTACTAGAACATTTCAAGATTAGTAAGACTTTTTGATTTTTATAATAAATAATAATAATTTAGTTGGAAGTGTAATAATTAGTAGAATCAGTATAATTTTTGTTTTTGTTTTTGTTGAGGGCCATCATGTAAACTACCGGGCTACTGGTAATGTATTTCACCCTCAATAAATAAAGTATTTGTTTGTTTATTTGATTCACAAGATGAAAATAACCATTCACAAGGTGACTTGTAAGACCATAGTTTACTGGAAATTTATATTAGTCTCATGTTGATGTGTACATATGAGGCAGAGCAATAAAAAGTAACCCAAAAAACAGCATCAAGTTGGTGGTCACAGTGTTAGATTATTGCAAGATTGAGGTGGCTATGAACCTTCAACACAGTATTTAAGTAACTCTGCAGAAAATTGAATCTTGGTTTGCAATTTGCATACATGGTAAAAATTAACTTTTATTTTGCCAATATTCAAGTGTCACTGCTTAAGTAAACTTATACACAAACAGGCTTCCCTAGTCAATATCAAAATCAGGTAAAATGGATTAAAAGCAATAACTGCAATAAGTGCATTCCCCGATAAAAATATTTGCATGATTCACATTTTGGCAGTAACAACTATAAATGCTCTTAGTTGACTCCCAGGTATTTCCTAACAAAGATTTCTCAGATAACAGTTCTAAATTTACACTTTTGAACTTTGTTTTGGCTGAAAATTTAGAATTTGCGGCCTGCTACCAAAACAGTTTGACTCAATCTCTTTTTCCATAGATATTTTTCACTTGTGGAGATTCGATGAATTTAAAAAAGAAGCGTTATTGTTCAAAAGTCAGCCAGTCTTTCAAGTTCTGATGATGTCAACTTCTTTAACTTCATTACCAGTGTATATGGAACATTTTTCTTAATTTTTTTACATTTTCTCTTGAAAAAAATTAATCCTCAAGTACACTCAGGGATTAATACAATCAGATTTTCATGAAAAGGATGAAAACATCTCATTCACAATTTGTAGCACTAATCAACAATCAACTCAGAACATGTTCATACCAAAAGCAATATAAATTTTAGCTAAATTGTACATTTTTCAAACAGAATTCTTAATCATCAATTAAGACCTTCTCTATTATACAGACTGTGCCATCATTCGCAGTTGTAATTTATCGATAATATACAGCCTCTGCAATTGAACGTTTTTTGCCCTACAGTCAGTATGAAGAGTGTTCAATCAATTACCTAGGTGCACTCCATTCTAACATCTTTGTTAAAGCATCTTTCCAATGAAGGCAAAGTTGAATCAAGCAGCATCCATTCAGTTTCTTGGACATGTGAGTTACTGATGCAACTATCAGCTTCCTTCGGTCTTCCTTCGGTTGACACTCAAATATTATAATAAGAAAAACCCACATAACACTCCAAGTATACCTAAGTAATCACTCAATATTGAACCCAGATATCAATGCCCTCCTAACGCACAACTTAAATTTAGTGCTGAGGGCAGGACTGGCCACTGAAATTATTTAAAATTGAAACAACGCAATGTCTTTCTAGTCCAGTTGTTTTCGGAAGTTGTCAAAAACGTTGAGCCCGCGCAACCATAGTTCGGAGACTGGGTGGTTACCAAGCGTAGCACATCGAGCTTCGTGAGCTATATAACAGGATGGACTCGTGATACAGAAATTGTTAAAATTCGGGAACAGCTCATACCTCCAGATAAGTCCTTAGCTCCCAGAGTTAACTATCTTGCTGTTTTGAGTTTTTGTACGAATTGTTAATGTAAGTCATCGTGGCTATGAGATCGTTTTTCGTTTTCCCAAGGAATCATTCATGTACATACTCCACCGGTATAATGTGTAATATGGCATAGGTTAACAGACTACATCAGATATTTAGTTATACAAATCAAAGTTACGGGGACAAAGTGTTTACTTCATAACATGCTCCTAGGTCCCACTAGTTTCTTGTTCGAATTATGCAAGATGGAACGTGATGTGAAGTGAATGTAGATATGTACACTGCAAATTCAAAGATGAGCAAAAAGAAACTGAAACGTCTCATTCTACCCCTACAATTTACACATGTTTCAGTTCTACGTTCTTAAAGGTAAAGTGAGTTGTACATTGCTGCAAGCTCATGTGTTCATAGGCATAAAAGTGCGAAAATTAAGAAAAAAAGAAAACTTAGGGATGGCTGTGGAATTTCTGAGTGTGACACTGTTTAAGTTGTTACATCACAGTTTGACTCGTTATTCAGGTCAGTTAGGAAAAAGTGATTCTTATTGTATTCTTTTTGACGAAATAAAGGTTCCAAATCAATCAAAATCATGTAAGTGTCTTAAATTTAGAAGTCACTCAGAATTTGATCTTTTTCTGACTCACTGAGTAAGAAGGAAAAACAAGGGTAATGACTCTGTCATCACCATTATCATCAGTGCTACACAGAATTTGTATGAATTACAAAGAATTACAAAGAATGAAATATCAGTTATATACACAGACAGGATAATTTCTATACTCAGTATATCAGAAGAAGACCAACCATATCCTGTAACTTTGCTCAAAGAAATATTTTGTTATCTGGAGATGTTGAGTTAAACCCAGGTCCTGGAGCAGTAGTGTGGTGGGTCTGATAACCTGTTGAACTCTAGACTGCATAAGGCATGGTTTGAGTCCTCTAGATGTTAGTGGAGGTGGTGATTACTTTAAGTCTGTATCATATCAGTAGTACAGTAATGTGTCGAAAAAAGGGCTGCTGGCGTTAAATGGTTAAGAGAGCATCCAGAGATGTTCATAGTAGGTATTGTGAATAGGTCATGTAGTCAATTCTTCTTCAAAGGCAGACTTGTTTTTATCACTGATGGTATTCAATAACATCCAATCCCTTTGCCCCTGTCACTTTTGCTGCCACAGCCAAAAACTACACAAAGAACCATTTTATACTTCTCACTTTTACCTAACCACAAGCACATTTGTAACTATTTGCTTGGACACCAACATTGCAGATAGCAGCTGTCGTCAAGACAAAAGTCACGTGGGTGAAAACCAAGAATAGGCTGCATGTTGATCTGGAAGACACAGGAGGAAAAACAGCTTATGTCGAGTATGACATGTTTGCTAATGAGTACTATCCAAGCCTTGGGTGTTATTTAGGTTTGCCTGATAAAGAAATGCTATCATTTGTCAGTCTCTAGATTTATTTCAGCATTGACCTGAATTATATATGCACTTGACTGGATCTTACTATGATCTAGTAGAGAACATACACATAGATGACATGAGCATCAAGAACTTTTCCTTACATTTTACACTTTGAACAGTTAGTGAGTGTCTGCAGCAGACCACAGAGGGCATCAAAATATGTTTGGAACTTCAGGGGAAAAATCAGCTGTGCCTTGTGCACCACTTTTTTGTCCTTGCCCATTTTTTATGTTTTCTATGATCTATTGCTGTACAGATGCACAAAAAGTGTAATCACTTTGCTAACTAATGACAATTGCAAAAACTTTTGTTGGTTTTTTGTCAAATAGAGCTTCTTTGTTTGTTTTGTAACCCTTTTACGCATGAAAACTTAGAAGCTTGTCATTATGTTGTTTATTTCATCCAATTCAACCAATGAAAGATATGCATACATGGACTCTTGATTTGTCTGGAGTGGTATTCAGTTGAATCAGGGACAAGGCATTATTTTTCGCATAGCTGGGAGGAGAGGGCGGATAATTTTTTGCAGGGAGTGAAGAGAGAGAAGTCATTGGTAACAGAGTAAAAAAGGGTGACTATAAAAAGTTGACTGCCAATCACCTCCTAATGAGAAGTTGATGTAAATTTTACCACAACGCTACTGAAATCCCCTGAATTTCTTTCTCGAGGATACTTCATGTTTTTTTTAACTGGCTTGCCGAGCAGGCGTAATTTTGGCGAGCGAGTGCTCAGTATTTTCTTACCCTTTAACCCTTAAGAGTGACTAGCATCTAATTTCTCCTCACAATATCACCCCTGAATCACACATTAAGGTCATGCGAATAAAGGAAATGATCACTAAGGAAAGAAGCTTTTGATTGGTAAACAAATTCTCCTTGTCAGCGCCTTAGGAAATGTATAAAGAACAGTATGGAGAAAGAGAAAGTTGGCGAACTTTGATTGTGAAGTTATTAGTTTCGATTCCGCTCTCGAGGAAGCACGGACTTCAATATGTTCCATCAGAGAATCTCGGTTTACATCATACAAATTATGGCCTAGTTATTTGTAGTTACTTATTTTTAGGATAAGTAATGCATCTGTTCAAAATGACTGCAATGTATCTCTAGGTGCCATATATATTTGGGGATACGAGGAAAAAACAGCGACTTTATAAAAATACACTTTAATAAGGAAAATCGTGATCATCATTGAAATAAAGACGATATTGAAGGCATCCTTGCTGCAAAGGTAATGTGTCTCTAAGTACTTGTTAAAAAACCAAACAAACAAACTGTTTCCCATTCCCTACGGCTGCTACGCGGACGTTTGCTTCTCGTAAGGGTTTGGAACTATCTCTCAAGCCATTGGCTCCAGAGGATTGTACGCTATCAGATACTGTAACCGCAATCTTACGGGCTTCGTGTCTTGTAGAGTTGAAGACGCCACATTGAGCAATTTTGAGGGCTTTGTCGATTCGTGTTCTACCTTCTCGCTTTCGGTCCTTTACAAGACGAAGTGTTTCAGTGAAGTTATACTGCCCAAACGTAGCTTTCACACCGGCAAACTGATGGAACACAACGATCGCTTCACGAGATGAACTTGTTTTCTTTCTTAAACTCGTAACCAAACTCCGCACGAGCTTCTTCGAATTCTCAAGTTCTTTTTTAATACTTCCTGAGTAATCCATGATAAATGCCACATCTACAAGACATCGTATGTATTAAATCCAGCAAGAAAACAATGGACAACTGGGCTTTTGTCGAAACTGAGCTCTTTCCCCTCAACAGACCACAACAAGTATTTTTCCGGCGTTGTTCGTTATTACAACACGATTCCACGAAGTAGCATAACTTTTCACAACTTCTTATCAGGAGACCATAGTTTCCTGCAAAATATCACGTTTTCACGCTAGTTCAAATTTTAGATCTTAGCTTCTAATTAACTTCGGTTTCTCATGACAACCTTTGTCGTGCTAAGGTTAAGAATGTTTTTAGTTGGACTGCAAACTTGAAAAAGTTTCACGTTGAATTTCAAAATGTCTTTGACAAGAGATTAAAAGCCTGAAACAGACTCATGTTTGGTACCAAGAGAATATAAAAAGTTTACAATCTCTTGTTTGCACCTGAGTCTTACTCAGAACACTCCTGTACTCCTCAGAACAGTTGACAAATGATGATCTCATTATCTCGGCCTCATATATCTTCACTTATTTTATTTAATTCTAGTTTAGCCTAAATTGTGATAAGCAGGGGCGAATAACTTAAACTATTGCTTTTCCTAGCTAAGCACAGGAGGGAACATTATTAGTTACTTCTCTTAATGTATTTAAAGAAAGCGACAACACTTTTGAGTTTGTAAGACATGTTTCGACAAAAACGTCTGTCATCTTCGGTTAATTACTGTACAAAGCGTTGAAAGTTGAATTATATAGTTAATAGAACAATGCTAATTAAGATGAATAGTGACAATTATTATTTATTTCCGCTGAATGTGGTTATTAAAATAACAGAAACAGAAATTTCATGTCCAAAATTACGTATGTCGTGTGCAAGTTGAGCGTGCGTATACAGGAAGCATAACCGACGGTCCAAATCTGTCACGGATGACGTGCAGAAGGCAGGAATTTCCAGAACAAAAATAAAGAAGATAAATTTATCTAAATCTTACAGAAAATGAATTTGATAAGACCGAAAAATAAGTTCGATATTGTTGGAATTCGCGTAATTCATTTCATGCATTTCTCGGCTTTTGATGGCCCTGCAAAGAAATTAAGATCCCATTATCACATATAGGGAGTTGTCAATTGAGTAGACATTTTAAGACAAAATGAGCATGGTATTACCTTTTTTCATCACTTAGAATTATCTCCACCCATACTACAATGCTGTAACAACACAAATCTCAAAAACCATTCAGATAGCTTAGGTGAAAAATTCAGAACAGATCGCTTAAATTGCAATTGAACTCACATTTCCAAGTTGGCAGTTGTTTGCTGTGTACTGATGTGTTCTGTGGGCAGTTTCCTCTACGAATTTCTCCTCATGCACCATACACCTCACATATTTTATCAAGAAAGACATAGTAAATTCTAGACGAGCTCGAAATAGATTTCCCTTGTCTTCCTAGTGAGCGAAGAATGATTGAAATGGAAGTCAGTATGAACA